CTTAATAACATTCACAGTTAATCCAGTTCCATTTCCGGTTGTACTCATAAATATTTTATAAATGTTTGGTAGTTTTTGATTTGGAAAAAAGTATCATTTTCCTATTTTTTAACAACAACAAATGTATATTCAAATTTGTGTATGTATGTATAAACTTTTTCATAATTGTAAGTTTGTGTTCGATTTTTATCTTGATAAGTGTTAAAAGTTTCGTGCAATTAATTAAGTGTTGGAAATTCAATATTTTTGGGTAGTAAAATTTAAGAAAATTTCCATTATTTATATTGGCTCAGGCGGGTGAGGTGATGTTCTTTTATATCAAACCACAGGCAATTGCAATTGAAATTAACAGTTCATGGAAATAAACATTTACGCGAAATTGACTCAGCTCAGTTGTTTCACTTTGATTATCTGATTTTATGAGCTATTTCGTCCTTATATCACATTTACTATACATCACATGACATGATGTTGTGATATATCACAAGACATAGTTATATGTATATTAAGTAATATTTTATTACTATTTCCCTGCGCAATTTTCCACTCACGTGAGTCAGTCTTTATTCCTTGGCTTCGCATTTACTAGATCATGTGATATTTTGTCGCATCACATCATATTTATTAATCATGTGATTGTCTGTCACATGACATTAGCATCACATCACATATAGTACATCATGTGATATTGGAAGTAAGTACGACCGTATCTCTCAATCAGTATATTATATCATGAGTATAATATATTCAAATGGTAGCGCATAATATCACATCATATGCAATACATCACGTGCTATTTTTGTGTATCACATTACAAGACAGTTTATTATACCAATTTCGAAATCATGTGCATGTGTGTATCATCGACGTAATGACAACATCGACTCATAAATTTGGTCGGGAAAGCGCTTTTTCTAGTGGTGATACCCTTCCATTGGAATTTTGTTCAAAGTTAGTGCAGAGTGGGTATTACTAATAATTGTTGGAAGAATATACTTAATATTTTTTTAACTTCTTTTCTTATTATAGTTTATGAATTCATTAGTTGAGGTACCTAGTACTATTGGAGATAGTGTTACTGGACTATATTTAAATAATTTCTTATATGCCAGCCGCAGATCCGACAATATGGGATGTACCCCTGGATTCTAGCTGCTTTTAGCCACGCCTCCCACAGAAGAGCTGAATAAGGTAGCGATGGCAGGTATGCAACCAATAATAGTAGCTGGTGCCAACTCCCATCACACAGCCTGGGACAGCTTAGACCGTAAAAGGGGCCTTCAACAAAGCCTAACGCTTAACTAACCATAAAGTGTTTATCGGAGGAATATTTAGAGAATTTAGAAGTCTCGATGAAAATTTGATTGATTACTAATTTTTGCAACCTAACACCACGAGCACTCAATCCCCTCAATTATATGGACAGGATATGGAACTCTACTTTGACCCGGAGATTTTTATCCCGAAAGCCGGCAGAGAGGAATACTCTTACCATGATCCTATAGACCAATCAGTCTAACATACTTTCAATTGGAATGTATGGGAAAGGATCTGTGACGACTGGGTCTAACAACAAATACCATCTGATCGACGAATACGTAATAGTAATAGTAAATCAGTTCACACCGCTCTACATGTGGTAGTTGGATCAACTGAAAAATCATCAGGTAAGAGATAGAAAGAGAGAGAGAGAGGAGAGAGAGAGAGAGAGAGAGAGAGAGGGAGAGAGAGAGAGAGAGAGAGGAGAGGGAGAGAGAGAGAGCACTCTGTTAAGTATGTCGTTATCCTTAATAAATAATTTATCTGGATTGAATATAGCTTTACAAAGCTAATTGCGGCCGCTCCTCGACAGGGAATACCCACACCTCCGAAGATATTTCTGGCATGAAATAAAGGCTCCTCGTAAAAAAGTATCAGCCGTTCGGAGGCGGCTTGGTATAAACTGTAGGTCCCTCCATTTGTTGGAAACACATCAAGATGCAAATACGGAAAATTGGAAGAGGAGCTCGGCCCAAAATTACTTCAGCTGTAACACAGCGCCATATATATGTATATAGAGCACATATATATATTATATTGAGAATTTATATGTATATATATTTTTTTCAGTACTTATTAAAGCTTATCTTAATTGAAAACAATAAAATGTGCTTGAAAGCGTCAGCATTTAGTCTACTTACTTGCGTCTATTACTTGTTCTAAAAAAAGTCATTAAAATTTACTTTTACATAGTTTATATTTACTAGCAAAAGCCGTTTCTATTTGCAGCGTTCAACCCACTTGAAGATAAATTGTTGCGGTTAACTTCAAAAATGTAACTTTTGACTGAATTTCATTTTTCTTCTCCAGATCTGAGTACTCAAGCTTCTGCGTTCTGATTTTCGGTAATAAATTAATACAAACGCAAACTTAAAGGGCAACTTTCTGTCATATTCAACGTGTTTGTCACTGGGTACGTTTATTAGTAATTAAGGCCAATTATACTCTCAATACAGATTTTAGTTATAACTTGACTCCAGCGGAAATGGGATGTCGACCGTAGTGTTTACATAGTTTACATGAGCTTTATTCTGTTAACGGTTGTATTTCACGGTAATGTGAGAACAACGAACGAACAAACTAAGTCACGTTGAAGGAAACAAATTCCACTGACGCTGAGCAAGGCATAGTCAGCCTTAGAATTAAGTTAATTTTTTTTGTAATTGTTAGTTCTAAGTTAAATCTCAATAAAAGAGCATAGCTCGCCTTAACAAATGAAAATAATACAATAAATTTACTAATTCCAAAGCATCGAAAGTTGTTAACTTACAAAAAAGAATTTATTGCGGCACATCCAGAAAGTAATTTTACTGAGGCTCTCGTGGCCGAAGGGATTTGTCCGATTTAATTTAATATGCGACTTTATTATACCCCTCTCGTAGAAGTGTGCGTCTATTGGCAAAAAACTCGGAGAGCCAATTTTCACTGGTCTCTCTTGAGGCCAACTTCTCTTCATTAAGTGCGTTCGCCATGGATAAGAAAAGATGGTAATCACTTGGTGCCAGGTCCGGTCTATAAGGTGGGTGCATAATAGGTAATAAAGGCGGTGGAGAAGTGGACTAAGGGGTTTGGTGGGTAACTACTTCGAAGAAGCCATCAACAAATGGATACTCCGCTTCGCCACCTAGAGAAGAATGATGTACTAATGCATCACGTCCATTTTTGTTTGGACAACAGATTTTTAAACCCTTCATAAATTCAATATACTTACTTTCTGGATATACCACGTAGTTTTTCATGATATGATTTTCGTGATATGATTTTTATGATTATTTTTTTTACTCAACCGAAATATGTCGAAAATCTTCTATAATGTTTCTGCCTTTGTACTTATTCTGTCTGTTGTGATTACAGCTTTTTGGCAGACAATAAGTAGCGGTGAGTGGTCATTCTCGTCTTTCGTGACGTGCACGCAAGACAGCGTTGTGTTGAAAAATTTCACTTTGATGCGGATTGTTGTGAGATGTTCATCCAACAGAGCTAATGCCAGTACTCGGCGACCGAGTCGCTCTTCAACCACAAATCCAACTGTAAATTTTCTCTCCTTTATGTGGCCGCTTCTTCCGTCCTCGCACATCTTGACGACGCACTTGACGACGGTGATGTCAGCCTTTAATTTTATCAGGACATCAACCAGCTGGGTAGCGGCTTAATATACGCATATGATTTCTTCTGCTTCCTATTTATGCAAATTTTTCTAATTTAACCAATTAAAAGTAATTTTACTACTTATTTTTTTCTTTTTTTTATTTTCAAAGGTATTGAGTTCGTGATAAAAATAAATGAAATATTTTACTCGTAAATACCATGAAAACAGCTTACCATTTCTTATACTTTTTAACTCCTTTTTTGCTATCTTTTCCCTGTTTTTTTTTTTTAATAATGGAACATATATTCTGCTCCTTTCTACTACTTTCCAAAATACAACCACTTGTAGGGGACTCCCTTGTCACTACTCCAAGTTTTTATTATTGAATCATGGATTTTACCTTTAGCAAGTAACGAAAAAACTATCAAACTTGATTGTACAAAAACAAAAAGCACGGACAAAACTACCGAGCGATGATTAAAGAATCAACAAAGCCAGTGTGAATACCTATATTATATATGCATATTGTCCGTAAAGATACAGACCGCACACCAATAAGCCTACTACCCACCGGTCCACTCAAATCATTCGATAGAATTCTGATAAAAAAACATTTACATCTAATTTTCTCAATCGGTACAAAGAGATATCAGAACATCAAGTCGGTTTTAGGGAAGAACATGGTACTGTAGTATAAGTCAAGTAAATTCCTTTCGAAATTAAGAAGGTTCCAAATATTTCTTGAGTCATATCTACTACGGAGAAAGTTAAAGCTCAAGTGGGAATCCCCCAAGGTGGCGTTCTAAGCCTGTATCGTATGTACACTGCATAAATCCCAGCAAATTGAATTGTACAAACATCCACTTTTACGGATGGCACATCCAATAAGCAGATGCCGTAATAAAATTCATAGAGAATTCGTGTTCTGCAGTACTTATCAGTTAATAGCATTAAACCGCATCTTTAACCAATTGCTGTTTTGCATGTATAGAGCCACAGTAGCTGCCTTCTCGTATCATTGAAAAATGATGACTCCTAGGTGGGCCGATAGCGGAGATCTTTTATCTCTTTGTAAATAGCACTGCCTCTACTCTGTTTGGATTGACACAGAGGCCATATCGGGTAGACCAAGACGATACCTTTCCGTGTGTTTCCTGCATCAAGTCACAGAGGGTTTGGAGAAACTTTTATCTGTATGCAATGAGGAAATCATCGGAGTCGGCAATGGCTTTGACGCCACTACATTCCGTTAGCGTTAATAATGAGATTCCAAAGCAAAGGAAAGAGAACTCCAACCTGTGGCGTAACTCATCTTACATATCTCCAAACTTGATATCTTTTGTATACACTAGTACATGTAAAAAGAAACAAATACTTTGCAAACTAAATTTTTTTATTTCTCTTTTTTTAACTTTACAACGAACGGATATATTTTTACGTCATTTCGCTTTAAATACAGCATAGGAACACATTATCCTACAAGACCGGCTGCAACGGGTAGAGCAGCCTTTGCAATGGGTAAGGCGATCTTACCAATCTTCTTCGCAACCGGGAGGGCTTTTTTTAACGCGCTACCAATACTCCGTTTAACCACAACGGAATCTTCGGCAGCAGGTTCGGCTACTACGCACTGCGAAGGGTAAATAATGATATTTACATATATAAAAGAAGTCAATTCAATACTTTTTTGTCCTTAGATGTACTTACTTGCAATGCAATGAAGGCAACAATGCAGATGAGGAAAACAGCTTTAAGGTTGGCCATGGTGAATTGAATTCTGATTTGGTGAAAGCTGTGATACCGATATTTATACTGAATTCTCGTCTGTGTAGGGTGTTCAAAACGCAATTATTAACAAACACGACTTGATGCTCTGCAAAATCCGGTCGTGACTGTATTTTATACTTATATTGCATTTCAAAGTGCATATAATAAACATCAGAATTTTAAACTAATTTATTTTAAGGGAATCAAAATCGAACGGTTTTAATAGTCGAGTGGTCAGCGGTATGTACTAGAAGGCAGAAAGTTAATAACAATTTGGTCTAGCTACAATCCACAAGGCTACGCATTAGAAGTGTTCCAAGACTTTAAATGTTCCTCCTTGGTACACTGTTTTAGACAACATTTCAAAGTGGTGAAAGTGTGAGACAGTGTTGGTGATAACAGCTTGTTCCACTTCATTCGCCTTTTCATTATTTTCTACATCCGTGTGAACCGATGGCCAAGTGATATTCATTAAGTTTCTCCGCGATAGTCTGTTAAATGTGTATTCTCATATTTTTATGCATTTGGACTTTGTTTTTATAGACTTATTGCCGCTTCACTTGTTAAAGCGGTTGTCCATTTTAACAGCTTGCATAATGCTCACAATCTCGTAAGACAGAGTTGTAATAATTGATTTTGAAGCTGTCTTGGTTATTAGGGTGGACACCGAAGAACCCTGCTTTTGTGTCTGCCTCGCACTTAGACCCATCAGTATAGATTTGGATATCTCTACTGTGGCTGGTAGTCCCGCCTTCCGCTCTTTCTTCTATTTCTTCTCTGCTAGGCAGCTTGAGTTCTGATATGCATGCTGATATGACTTATATCAATCCTTTTACAATTGGAGTGCTGCAACCCATTTGCTGAGACATTTAGGTGGCTAGCTTCTAGTGCTGTTTCATGCATAGTACTTCGGATACTTAATCTTACGCAAAACTTTTCTCTGAAAAACTCCTAACGCCGATTCATCAGATGTTGTCATCGTCCATGCTTCCGCGCCGACGGGAACGATGAGGGACTTGTAGATTGCCTACTCAGTCCAAAGCAACACCTGTTGGCAAGAGTGATTTTGGGTTGGATTTCAAGGCTGACATTATTGTTGGTGTTGATGCTACGAATTGTGACTGTCAACAGTGAGGTGGGAGCCAAGTCAGGAATGCGATGACTGTTCGTTTGATGACAGGAGATATTTCGTCTTGTCCTCGTTCACTACCAGACCCATTCGCCTCGCTTCTTTATCAAGCCAGGAGAAAGCAGAACTAACGGCGCGGTTGTTGAGACCGATAATGTCAATATCATCGGCGTAGTCTAGTAGTTGTGCACTCTTATAGAAGATTGTACCTTCTCTATTCAGCTCTGCAGCTCTTATTATTCTCTCCAGCATCATATTGAAGAAAGCACACGACAAGGAGTCACGCTGTCTGAAACCTCATTTGGTATTCAACGGCTCGGAGAAGTCCTTCCCTATTCTGACTGCGCTTCTGGTGTTGTCTAGCGTCAGCTTACACAGCCATATAAGTTTTGCGGGGATACCAAATTCAGACATAGCGGCATAGAGGCAGCTCCTATTCGTGCTGTCGAATGCGGCTTTAAAATCGACGAAGAGGTGCTGTATGTCGATGCACTTTTCACGGGTCTTTTTCAAAATTTGGCGCATGGCAAATATCTGGTTAATGGTTGACTTATCAGGTCTGAAGCCAGACTGATAAGGTCCAAACAGTTTGTTGATGGTGGGCTTCAGTCTTTCACACAAAACGCTGGATAGGACCTTATATGAAATGTTAAGGAGATTTATCCCACGGTTAGTAACGTAGACTGTGAGATCGTCCCTTTTTATGGATTGGGCAGAGTACACTTAGGTTCCAATCGTCGGTCAGTCTTTCGTCCGATCATATTCTGCAAACAAGCTAATGCATGCACCTTGTCAGCTCTTCACCGCCATATTTTAATAGTTCTGCCTATAGGCCGTTATCCCCAGCCGCTTTGTTATCTTTTAAGCGGAAAATCGGAGCTCGATTTTCGAAATGATGCGGTAGCGGAACGTCTGTTCCATCATCATCGATTGAGATTTCGGGTTCACCTTCTGCGGGTGTTTAATTTTTACTGTCGTTCAGTAGGCTGGAGAAGTGTTCCCTAAATAAATTCAGTATACTCTGGGCAGACTTCACTAGATCCCCCCTCTGGGTTCTACCAGAGTTTTCCCCCTTCTTGATAACTTCTGTAAGACGGAGAAGATAGAATTTTTGGCCAGCTTCTCAAACTCCGCAAATGCATCTTGCTTTTCTCTTCAGCTCTCGATATCTAACGCACCCCACACGTGTTGTGTTTTCTCTCCACTGCAGTTCGACATTCCTCATCGTGCCAACTTTTTTGTGGCACTGCCGAAAACCAATTGTTTCCGTAGCGGCGGTACGTTGAGAGTTTGAAATGCCGTTCCACAGTTCCCTTATACCAAGGTGCTGATGAGTGCTCTCAGAAAGCAGGTATGGAAGTCGAGTAGGAAATCGCTCGGCAGTTCGTTGTGATTGAAGCTATTCGACGTTAAAAATTGTTTAATTAGTACCTTTTATTCTTGCGCCTAAATGTAGGTAAAATGTTTTAATTTTCTTACTGCTTTTTTTTGCTATAAAGAATTTTAGAATTTTAAACCAATCTTTTGGCACTCAAAGAGAAATCATTATCTAAAAAAAAAAGAGATGCCGAAAATCGCTTTTGCGGTAACGAAGTGCCAAATACTGGTGTAGTAAAAAGAAATCCATTACTTTTAGATGATGGCGTTACTTATCTGTGTCTCGCGTTGCATAAGTCCGATATAGTTTTAATATTTCTAAATTTATTTCAAGTTAGGTTTCATGCATAAATTCGAGGAATTTTATTCAAGTATATGTGTATGTGGTGGCATGTGTATGTATATGTGTGCATAATTACATACATGAAATTTAATTTAATTGCTATAATATTCCTAATTTTTTTTCGAAATATACAAATAAATGGACTGCAAATTGAGGCTAATTACTTTATAAGTTGTTGCTGACATGTTTACATACATACATATATACATACATACTTTACATGCACACAATACGCGGAAGCAACGAAGTAGTTTTACCAGAAACATACATACACAGAGCTCATTTATTTATAAATAACCAGTTGATTGACATGTTTCTAACGCATCACCAGCTAATTGCGACACTCAAACTGAAAGAGGCAATTACAAAAATATACATCAAAATGGCTCATAACATTTTTAATGAATTTTTCGGTACAATTTCATGGTAAATACATAAATGTCATTTGCTAGACCACGTCGAACTATTTCCAAACTAAGCCGAACTCAAATGAACACACACAGTCGTACTGGAGCTAGAGCATGTGCGCGGAGACGCGTGTTTAATGGTACGCATGCGCAAAACCGCATACGCTACATCAAGTTTATCTCTAATTAAACCAGCGCTTACTACATATATATACATATATATAGGAATGTACATGCGAGTATGTAAATACAATGTATAAGAGTATGTATGTACACTCGTAGCTCAGGCGGCTTGCCGCCAGCCGTTTGCCGCACACATTTATTTTAACAGCTTATCGCTCGGCGGCGTTAGGTTTGCGGTGTGAGGCATGCGGCATGCGGCGGCATATGGTAAGTTCATGCTAAATGGCTTAATGGTTGACGACCAGTTTTGACACTTGGACATTGGTAAGCGTCCTGTTTTCCATTTCCACTATCCATAATAAAACAGTTAATTTTTATGATGTGATTTAGTGTTGTTTGCGCACATGTTGCAAGTACATGCTAGTGGTTGTTGTTGTGGCAGTAGCAACTACTGCATGTGTGTACGTAATTTACAAATAATCAGAAATAATTACGAACACTCTCAGCTTCAGGTTTTCCACAACACATCACTTTTTTTACAGTTATTTATTTAGCGCACTCTGTTGGCTGTTACAATTTTTTTGTTTTCTTTTTTTGGTTTTTTGCTCCACTTGCACATTAATGCTACTAAAATACTCGCAATGAGCTTAAATCGCTGCCATTAATTGCTGCTCACGAAGTAATCATGTTTGCTGTCATGCTGTTACTGTTGCTGCCACAACTGAGTAGCGGCAATTAAGTATATTTCAACTCTAATATCTAAAGCGTGTATCTGTGTGCGTGTGTGTGTGTGTGTAAAGAGCAGTGAAAATAAACCATAAAAAATACTGCACTTAATTGGTTGATTTGAAAGTGTGCAGAGTTGTTGATAAGATCCGGCAACCAGTTTGCCATTTGGCCAACGAAAGACTTAAGCGACGAACTTGTCATAATAAATTTCGACTTCGAGTAATCAATTGCCTTTAAATATAATGAAATTAGTCGCGAAATGTGATGGCAATATTAATTATATTATGCATTAGAAATTAAATAGACTTTTTATGCTGATGATAAAGTCGCGAATGAATTGCATATACGAACGAGCTGCGAAAACAAATAAATATTTAATTCATCGCAAACACGTTGATCAGGTGCAGCGATTGGCACGCGTTAGTGGACATCGAATTAGTGTCGGCTGCAAGTGCCTATAGATAACAGTATTTTCATATTGAAAATCAATAGGGCAGCGTCATGAAGTAAGTTTTGCTAAAATTCCTTAAATTCCTGTTCTTTTATCATAACCGCGTAAATCTGACCATCAAAATGTTTGGAGAAGTAAGGCTGTTGAGTGCGCCGAATAAAATTAGTGAGTTTTAAAACGCTGATTTAATATTATTTAAATTTCGAAAAAAAAATTGCTTAAAAAACCTTCGGCTCTCGTAAAAGCATTTAAAGCGCAACTATTGGGTTGCCCAAAAAGTAATTGCGGATTTTTTAAAAGAAAGTAAATGCATTTTTAATAAAACTTTATGAACTTTAATCAAATATATAATTGCCATTTTGTTCGATAACATTTTGCCATCTTCCTGGCAAATTTAGTATTCCACGCTCATAGAACTTCTGGCCTTTATCTGCAAAAAACTGAATCAAGTGCGATTTTATAGCTTCATTATTGCCGAAAGTTTTACCATTT